TGCATTGGCCTGTTAAGGATTGGGTCAAAAACAGAGTAAGTATGTTAAAGATCTGTTACAAACTACTTAGTAATCTAGCTGACTAATCTTATACAAATAATGACAAAGAAATGGTTTAAGAGTGCACTTTGAAGTAATGTAATTGTTTTGTGTGTCATTGTGTGTGTTTTCTGTATATGTCTTTGTCTCCTACCAACTGTGGCCACTTAATTTTTACTTTTTAAAGCTCATTATGCATGCTTATATTCTTTAGCACGCCTGGGTCGTAACATTTGTGTGTCTATGTGTTTGTTTAGATGTCTTCAGAAAAGTTAAAATGTACACAGCTATCTCAAAAGTTATCTAAAGTTCTAATCCCAACCAGGCCTGACTATTCTTTGCCTAAGGACTAAAGAAAATTTATGTACAATAATCTCAATCTGTTTCATTCTATCGTGAGTGCAATTTACATTTTTAAATTTAATTTTCTTCCTGAGTCTTTTAAGGTATAGGTTATTAAGAGTTTTATTTAATTTTTTAAATTTCTTTTATTCATATGTGCATACAATGTTTGGGTCATTTCTCCCCAAGAGTTTTATTTAAAACAGTGTTATCTAATTCAGGTTTTTACAAAGGTTATTTCAATATACAAATTAAGGTCTTAAAGCTTATAAGTTTGTAACTTAAAGTTTGCCTAAAAGTCTTCTAAGGTCAAAATTTAAGTTACCAATGTGTATTTAAAAAACGGGTTTCTGTTTTATCAAAATAACTATCAAGATCTTTTGGTGCTATAGGCTGACACAAAATGTTACCAAAACCAAACAAAAGCTCACTCTCCAGATATAATGATAACCTTAAGTTTTTAAGAGTCTATAAAAAGGTGACTAATCCTAAAATACCAAACTATGTGTATCACTAACTCCCAATAACTAAATCTGTAATTTTTTGGCTCTAGGTGCTACATGCAGGTCAACAACAATCCTACTATGTGTTCCAAGTCATTCTGTTAGTTAACATCTTCAGTCTAAAAAGCAATCTCTTAACAACATCCAAGCTATGGCCCTCAGGCATTGGGTCTCCTTAACTTTATGCTCACCCCTTTAGCTAATCAACAGATTGTCTTTGTACATACTATCTTTTCATTTTACGTGTTGTTTTGGTATTAGCCTCTTTGCCCAGTGCATAATAGTTCTGATATTTTGGCGGATGGGTCAACATTCAGGACTGACATACCATCTTAAAGAATCCTCATGTAGGGGTGGAGAGACTGTTCCTTAGGGGTACCCTGCTACTCCCTTGCTCCACAGATGTGTGACGGAAACAGGTCTAAGGGACCTGTGTTGAGGCTTCCTAGAACACGGAGACACTCCAAGGATCCAGAAGTTCTTTTTTCATCCTCTCCCTTAAAGGGTAAATTTCCTCCTTCCCATTTCCCTTTCTCTCTACACTGGTTGACATGGGGTTAGCCAGCTCAATTATAACGAATTCCACACTTGGCTGTGTCCTTAAGTGTTGGGAGATGCTTTGATCCTGCTAGCCAAAAATAAGATGACTAGTTCTCTTCATAGCCCATTTAAGATTATTTACTGTTCTTTACATCCTGCTTAAATTAGTCTCTTGTCAGACACAAAAGTCCTAAGGTATTTTTCTACTAACATTAAAGAAACTAAATTTAAACTAAGTAAAAATTCTTTAAATGGTTCTAATACTCCTAGTGCCTTATGCATGTATCTAAATGTCATAAAATTATTTATAGAGTTAAAGGTGTATATGTAAGCAGCTATAGTTCTTTTATCTAAGGTAACTTCTAATAAGGTCTTTGACATTTCTGCTCTTTTGAACAAATACTAAAAGTTCTAACATTTAGGTTTGACACCTGTTTATAAGCTAAACACTGGTTTATCTGACATTAACTAGATAAACACTGTTTTGTGTGTGTGTGTGTATATATATATATATATTTATATTCAATTGAGTATTAAAGCAGGAGCTATTTGAAACTCCTAACACTGCCTTCCCCTAACCATTGGAAAAATTAGGGTTTTTAATTGTCAGTACAATAGTCAGTACTGTCAGTATAGTACTGACAACCACTAATCTGTTACTTTGCCTAACCAAAATTCAAGGCTTAAGTTGTAATTAACCATGGTTACTTTAAGTTTTGTCATTACAGTTCTGATCCTTCAAAAACATTCACAGGCAAGCCCATGAAAAATAACTCTGACAAGCGCTTATTTATTAACCAGGACAGACATTCTTAAGTATTGGGATTGATTTTCATTTTCCTTGTAACAATAACTTTATAATGTTACCTGCTAACACTTTACAACAATTTAAAGGTGCCAATACATCCTTTATGGGAAAAGCAATTAGATTTAAATTAGGCTCAGCCTAAGAGCCATTTTTTAAAAGTAAATCTCTTAATTTGGCTAAAAAGGTCACATTGGCACTGACTTCTTATTTGTTTGATGCTACTTGCTCCCCTCTGTTGGACAGAATTTGACCTTCTGGACTTTCTGGACAGAGCTGCCAAACTGGCAAAAATCTTCAGAGATGACTGTTTAGAGAAACAGTTTAAAAGGATGTGACCCCCCCCCCACCACCACCAAGGTGGTCAGCATCCCTCAACTTCTCAAGAGGAACAAGTGGCATTCAGCCACCCAAGACACATGAGGGGACTTCTCCAGATGTACATGGAGAGAATTATGCCAGACCTCTAAAAGTAACCAAAGCCAAGAGAATTTAAAAAGGGGCTCTTACACATGTGCTCTAATATTTAAGCCTTCTGGGCTTCTGGCAAAAGGCCCATGCCTTTGCCTACGTCTTCTATTTAAACAAAGACAATATAGCTTTCAATGGTGTCTAGCTTCTGCTTAGGGACACTAAGTCTCCTTTCTATACAGAACTGACACATTAATGTTTACTTTCTAATTAGACTAACACCTGCCCCTTGGTACATCTGGCCCCTAATGTAGTCAGCCCTTAATTGCCTACTATAGTGACAGTCCAAAATAGAGGGTCATTAAGAGTTAAAAACAGCTACAGGCATAAACACCTACAAGTAAAGTAACCATAAGACCCCCTTTCACTTTTCAAAATTTCTTTGTCCTTCCTGCCACACCTGTAAGGACCCCTTCTGATGCTCCTATCAGTATTAAATGTTCAGGTCATGCCTTCTAAATCAGATCTATCTCTTCCAGAATAAAAGCCTTTAGAACCCAAATTATGAGGCAACAAGGCTATCAAGCTCCACAAACAAATGAGATCTCCATGAGCAATCCAGATCTCCAGGAGAAACCTTAACTATGCCGGACATCTTGTGACCAAATGAGCCCTAAGGAAAAGGAGTAAGAAAAGACAACTTCCTTTTATAGGTAGGGCCTGCTGCTCCTTGTCACCTCAAAGCAGATATTGGAGATGGATGACCCCCGCCACCAACAACCTCCCCAAAAATACTTTTTTGGAATACTGTCTCTTAGGAAGAGTTTGAGGCAGCCTAGAAGTAGGAAAAGTTTGGGGCTCATGTAGGTTGCCTGGGGATGGGCCAGACCACCCTGGCCTGGCTAGGAACTCCCATGCCCCTCCCCACTTGTTCATTATTGGGCAGGAACCTCCTGGGCCTGCCCTCCCCATGGCACCTGAAAAAGAAAAGCTTGCTCTCTCTGCCAGCGGACTCCACCTGCACCCACCGTGCCCTCTTCTTCTATTCCTTTCCTCGCCTGGCAGAACAGGTGACTCCTCTTCTCTCAATAAAGCTAGTCTACCTCACTGCATCCACGAGCTCTAATTGGATTCTTCCATTTGGAGCACAAAAACCAAGATTTTCTGATCACAGACTGCACCAGCGCTGTTAACACAAGCCCTGTAAGTTTCTCAAAGGCAGAGTCCAAGTCTTTGATATTCCTTCACTTTGGCCCTCTTCTTATTATGACATACTCACACTAATTTCATCCACTTTCAGGTTCTTCCACAAGACCAGGGATGTTGCTCAAGTGGTTCAGCACTTGCCTAAGAGGCACGAGGCCCTAAGTTCAATCCCCAGTCCCCCCAAAATAATGAACCCAGATTCTTGAACAAACAAGTTTCAAGGAAGGAAAAAAAGAAAAAGAAAAAAAAAAGGGGGGGGGGCAAGCAGAGACATCTCAAAAGGGAACTATAATGGGATGGAATTAAAAGGAACACACAATGACAACGTATAAACTTTAGTTTGACCCTAACTCAACAAACTCTACCTAACAAACATTTTGAGACACTGAATTTGAGCAGACCGGATATACTAAAGAGTACCGTCAGTATTTAAGATGGGAAGTTATTCTAATGTTTTGGGGGTGACTTGAGTTTTGACTATTCAAAACTATTACGAATAAAATGGTATAAAAATGTAAACAGCACAAAAAATGGTCAAAAGCCTGGACATACTTCTGGCTCCAGACAGGGCTGGAAGCAGCAAGCTGGCTGGGGTACATGGGAGCCCCTGCCTGTTATGCCCTGCAGACATTACAGACATTGTAATTTCACAATGGTGTAACTTGAACAAGGAGTTTCGAGTATTCAAACTCCAGTACCACCAAAGTAAAAAAATCAAGTAAAAGGAAAGGCGCGCGTTCAAAGAATGCTACCAAGGGCGGCGAGGTCAGCCACAGCCGCCGGCCCACCTCCCTACGGTGGCGGTTCGACCCGCCCGTACTCTTGTCCCCCACGAGGCACGGCGCCATCCCTCTCCCGCTGTCCCTGGGACAAGTAGCGCCGGCAGGAAGGCAAGCACACTGACCTAGCTGGAACCAAGGACGGGACAGTAGTGGCAGCAGGCACAGGAGCAGAGGGAAGCCCATGCCGGGCAGTAAGGAAAGCGCGCTATTACGCATGCGCCACGCACTACTCCACGTCAACCCGCCCGTGAGCCGTCAGCCAATGTGAGCTGGACTACCCGCAAAGCACGCTGGGACAAAGAACAGCACCCAAAGCCCCGCCCCTCCCCACTGGCCTCTTTAGTTCATCTGTCACAGAACAGAAGGGTTCGACTTAGACTTGGTTTATTGCACTGCTAAGCCCTGGAAATACAAAACTTTACCGGGAAAGAACAGTAATTTGGGTAAAAGATCAGTGGGACATATTTTCTTGGACCATAAGGTTGATAGGCTTGAAAATAATAAAAACATCCTGTTTGCTGGATAAAAAGGGCCTGCTTTATGAGGGTATACTTTTAGTGCGATTTAACAATACTGTAATTTCACAATGGTGTAATTTGAACAGTACCAAATTTTTTTTTCATATGGGAAAACAAAATTCCTTTGAAAATTCTTTGTGCTGGGGGTATGGCTCCAACAGCAGAGCCATTCTTTGCAAGCATGAAGTTCAAACCACAGTCCCACACATATACACACAAAAATTATTTGAAGCTTGGACACAAATTCCACATCTGCATTCCTCAGGATCATCCTGTATTCAAGTTCAGATGCATGGGAGGCTTCAATTCAGCCTTTCAGAGATGACATTCCAGCCCTCATGATTTCATCAACCAGCAGAATGTTGGTGGCAATCACAGTGCTACAAGGGAGGGAAACAAAATCAGATGTCTCAGATATGAACCCCGGTTTTACTAACTTGCTGTTTCCACTAAAATGCACACATTATATCCAACTGGTTTTCCTTTCTCTCTACACACAGGGCCATTTTAGTCTCTGCTCATGATTGACTACATTCCTGGGGGAAGGTGATGACAAAATGAACATAACAAATGCAGAGTATGACAGTTTCCTAAAAGCTGTTTTATTTTGGTTTTCTCAAACTTACCAGGAGTGAAGAAGCTGTTTCTTCACACAGTAGTTATCCCATACACCCACTTCTGCTGCTACCATTGGCTCACCTGAAAGGTAAACAGGTCTTCTTAAAAATCACAAATAGTTGGTCATAGTATCAGATACTATTTATAAAAAAAGGAAACACTTTTTCTATTTTATGAAGTGTTGCCAACTCTAGAGTACAAAACAAAGCCAACCAAGACCTTTAAAGTGTGAAAGAACAGTAATTGTGTGCTCCTTTGCTCACCAAGACCCCTCCAGATCATTTCTCTCACCTAAAACATCTCCCCAGAGATGATCTCTATTTAGATGACACCTAGAGATGGGTACTCTACCATGTGGCTACAATGGGCTTTTCACTTCCCTGATTTTGAAACCTTTTGTATTAAATTAACAATAGTGTTGACACTAGGTCCTCCCTTTGGAACATGTACAATCTGTGTTGTAGGGGATAATACCGGGATAGGATCATTTCATTAGATCTGATCCCTTTTTCTGATATTATTTACTATCCACCTGAGAATATGATTCTCAAATTTCCTGATTAAAAAACTAAGTCAAGCCCAATATGAAACCCTTCAATATTACTAAACTAAGCCATGTACTCCCACTCAGCAACATCTCCAACAAATCTATACTCTATGAAATTATTGAAATGTCTCCTCTGCTCCCTAAATGTATTATCTCGTCATTTCAGTTTTCTGTATTTTATCAGAACTTACAGCCAGTTCCAGATAGTACTGATATCATACTGCAAAGCAACAAGCACTGCAAGATCCCTTTGCCCTTATCAGCCAACTTTCCTAGCTTCACCTCATTTATATTATCTAGTATTCTCTTACCTGTGTTCAAGTCCACACCTACAAGTTGACCTGATTCTGAATGTTCTGCTTGAACTTTAACTAGTGTTTCCTGAAGGTCAAAACCTGAGTTCTGAGCAAGAACCTAAAGTAAACAAATATAATTATTGAAAAGATAGGAACTGAAAATCGAGAGTGAAGTCTTCAATATATAGTATTCCCAATTAATTTTTCTTGAGGGGGTAAATCATTGAAGAGAGAACCATTATTTATGTTCCCTTCAGAAAATAGCCAGACTTTTAAAAGTTACTTCAAACCCACTCCAAACCCAGCAACACACTGGTCATGAACAATAACCTTCAAATGAGAATATAATAGAAACCAATGTTTAACTAAAACAACAAAACGCAAGCTTGTACTCATGTATAACCCCCTGGAGGCAGGGTCCTGGTCTGTTCAAGGGAATCCTTGAACTCAGGAATTCTCCTGTGTTAGCCTTCTAAGTGCTGGGATTACAAGTGGGAGACTACCATACCTGGTTGCAACTATTCTCCTGCCATCTGAAACTTCAAAGACAAGCAGGTCTCCCAGAGGAATAAAGTACTTTAAGATGATACGGGGATACTTAAGCCAGAGAGAAAACTGCTCAATCTCGCTAATTCAAAATCTGTATTATGATATAAAAACTATTTTATCACAAAGTTTCAATCAGCTAAACTGTTTGATGTAATTTAGAAAACTGTTCAGTATTCACACCTTGGGAATAATGAGCAATGCATCAGCAAATGCTTGGACTCCAAGCTGGGCCCTGCCCTTTACACTGGGCTTATATTTGATCAGGGCTTCTGCCATTGCCACTTCTACTGCACCAGCACCTGGAACCACACAGCCTGTTGGGGAGAGGATGCGAAGAGAAATAATAAGCAACAAAAAATAAAACTATTTATATTTTAAATAAAGCAATTGTAAAAAAAAATCTTTAAACCAAAAACACTAATGAAAGCTTCTAATTTCTTACAAGTCCACAGTGACCCCAACAATTAAAATACCATACTGCATTTGTTTGTTTTGCAGTGCTGCAGATCAAACCCAGGGCCTCATGTTTGCTAGGCAAGGGCTCTACCACTGAGATACACCCCCAATGCATAGAATTGCATTGGAAAGCAACAAGCAACTAACACAGCAAACAGCTCCTATTGGAAAGCTGTATCACTTCATTTATTTGTATTCACTTTTAATAATGAATGATACACTATGGAAAACACAGCATACCATCACAGTCATTTTAAAGTGTAGACTTTACTTTTGCATGGTGTCTGGCTGTGTAAACTACTGATCAAAGAACACAGTATTCTGCCATGCCTTTTAGACCAGCAAGAGAAAATAAATTTAAATACAGTGAGGTTCTTACCATCATCAATAGCATTTTTGACAGCCCTCAGGCCATCTCTTATTGCATCTTTGATTTGAATAAGTGTATGCTTATTTGGTCCTTTGACCAATAATGTGACAGAACGGGGATTGTTACATTTCTCAATAAAGGTGAACTTTTCTTCTCCCTGTACATAGAAGATAAATTATTTTCAAAAGCAGTACATGGCTGTGCAAAGAGTGAGTAGAGAGTAGGGGGCATATGGGAGAATACATAGCATACTAACAAGGAGCAAATCATATTAAAGCAAATCTTAGTTTAAAAAGAAAAAAATCATGCCTATAATCTTAGCTACTTGGGAGGATGAGATTGGGAAGGTTGTGGTTCAGGGGCAGCTGAGGCAAAAAGTTCACTAAATTCCATCTCAAAATAATAGCTGGGCGAGAATTCCAGCTGCATGGGCGCATGTGTGCGTAGGGGTGTGCTGAAATTGTGAGGATTGAGGTTTGATGCTAGCTTGGACAAAAAAAGACTGTAAGATTCCAATCTGAACACAAAAAAAGCTGAGTATGGTGGGCAGGCCTGTCATCCTAGCTATGGCAGGAAATGGAAAACAGGACTGTAGTCCTGGCTGGCCAGGGTAGAGTGAGACCCCATCTCCAAAATAACCAGAACAAAAAGTGCTGGAGGTGTAGGTCAAGTGGTGGAGTGCCTGCCAAGCAAGCACAAAGCCCCAAGTCAAACCCCAGTCCCACCAAAAAATAAAAGCTAAAAAAAAAAAAAAAACCAAAACAAAACAAAAAACCCTAAAAAACCCACAAAGAAATCTATTTTTCCCCTTGTCAATGCCTGTCATTATTACATATAAATTACCAACATGTATATAAACAAAGAAAACTGATTCTGAGCTTGAGTTTTTCTAATGAAGAATTCATGAATAAAAAAGTACTATTAACTTTAGGTACAAAATACACTTACCAATGTATACTCATAGACAAGTCCTGCATATCCCAAACAGTCAGGATTTAGGTCATCAAAAGAATTTAGGGCTACCCCACCACAGGCAAGAGTCAGCCTGAAATATTAAAAGTTATTTTTAAGGGAGAAATATAAGTAACATTAAGTTCCAAAAGGTGGTCAAGAATTTCTAGGAGAAATTCTTATATCTTAATTTCAGAATTACATATATGCATTCCAACCAAACCTTTCCATTCACTGAACAGATGAAAACTGGTCTTTTCTCTTAACTCTCCATTTAAACCTCCCTCCCATGGTCAGCAAATATTCCACTATGAAATCTTAATGTGCACATGAGCTCTTTGGACAAAGTATTTCTTTCTCTGGTACCTCTTTATGTTGTCTTTTGACAAGGAGAAGTAGTTACACTATGTCACAATACAAAAACAAAATAAATACAGAGGAATGTTCACACAATTACTCACAATAGCCAGAAGGCAGAAATAACTCAAATGCCCACTAATGGATGAATGAAATGTGGTACACACACATAAAGGAATACTGTCTGAGAAAGGAATGAGATGCTGATGTATACTACAACACAGGCATTAAAAGTAAATAACCCAGGTGCAAAAGGATAAATGTTGTGATTCCACTTACAAGGGGCTGGGTGTAAGGAAAAAGCAGGGAGTGGTCATGTGGGATGAAAACATCTTGGAGACAGTGGTCATACAACACTGAATTAAACATGTAAAAATGGTTAAAATAATAGCTGGGTATGGGGGTGCATGACTGTAATCCTAGCACTGGGGAGGCTGAGGCAAGAAGAGTGACTTCCAGGCCAGTCTAGGTGACATTAAAATAGTAAATTTTATTTATATTAAAAGGAAAAAAGCAAAAATAAAGTAGATAGGAGGAAAAAGGAAAAACCCTAATCCACTTGCAAAATAAGTGCAGTTCACAATGCTCAGATAACCTCTCCATACCTCTCCATATTCCTCCTTTTAGCTCTGCGCAGAGCTACTATGCCTTCTTTTGCAAGAGCATCTAAGGAAAATGGGTCAATTCCCTGCAATAAAAATAAATTAGTTTTGATCTTTTAGCTTAAAGATAAAGAACAGACTATTTAGTTTATAAAATGTTCATTCTCACCTTCTGATTAATAACAACAAATCCTTTATCTGAGTCACCACAGACTTTCTTTTTCAGTTCTATTATTTTTTTAACTCTGTCCTCAATGAATTTTCTTTCAGCTCTTACTAGTTTTTCTCTCTCTTCTGCACTCTTGTAAAAAAA